ACAGAAACGAAGAAACAAAGGTCACTCCCAGCTATGGCTTACGCTTTGCAGGAAAGCAATATATTGTCTCAGCTTTAATGTATGCTACGATGTCATCGACTCATAGAGTTGGAAGAGATCCCAAGGGCCATCCAGTCCAGCCCTAATCTGCCAGGGAGGAAAAGCACAATCAAAGCACCCCCAACACAGAGCCATCCAGACTCTGTTTAAAAACCTTCAACTCGCTTTTATTTGTCCATGTATTTAGCATACATAAATAATATAGTTTGTTTACAGTCATCTCTACTATCTCACCCATAGGAAAATGCATAAAGATATGGGTTAACTACATTTCCCATCATGCTAGGTCAATACCCCCCAAACCACACCAGCATTTTAAATTGGTCAGGATGGGTACATATGCCAAGCTTAGTCCAGGTTCATCATCAGTGGGGTTCACAGTGCTCTTCACATATGGCTGAACTATAACTTCCCAAATCCTCTGTCATTGCTCCCCAAACCCTGATAGTACTTAAAGCTGGTCATGATGGGTATGTGTGTCACATTTAATCCAAGTCCATCATGGGTTATGATCTGAATGCTCTTTGATTGTGTGTGAACTATAACTCCCATCATTCTCTGTTATTGCCACCCACTAAATCCTGTCAATATTTAAAGTTGGTCATGATGGATATGTTTGGTCCAGATCTATTATAGATGGGGTTCACAGTGCTCTCTGGAAGTTCCTTCAGGGTGAACTGCAATTCCCATCGTCTAGGGTCCATCTCCTCCTCAGTCCCCAACCCCTCCAGCCTCCAGTATTTTATTTTAGTCATTGCGGGATGGGTGAGTTTGCCAAGTTCGGTCCAGATCCGTAGTTGGTGGGAGTTGTAATGGTCTCTGGAAGTGGGGACCATCTTGGAAAATACATACAAACACACATATACATACATATATACATACATACATACATACATACATACATACATACATACATAGTTAGTTAGATAGATAGATAGACAGACAGACAGACAGACAGGAAAATAGACAGACATTTTAATAGTTTTGTGTTTAATCCCTCTGTATGAATCATGTTGTATTACGCTTCAAACTTCAAGGAGAGGCGAGTAATAAGTTCTTCACCATCATCATCATCATTATCATCATCATCATTATACTGCAAGTCACATACTTACAAAAAGCACTGCTTCACTATCAAACAAAAAGTGGGTGCTAGAAATAATGTCATACGGAAGCTGACTGGCACAACCTGGGGATCACAACCATAAACATTGAAGACATCTGCCCTTGCGCTTTGCTACTCTGCTGCAGAATACGCATGCCAAGTGTGTAATACATATCACCATGTTAAAAGAAGTGGATGTGGCTCTTAATGAGACATGCCACATTATCACAGGATGTCTAAGCCCTACACAACTGGAAAAATTATACTGTTTAGCCAGTATTGCACCACCTGATATCTGTCAGGAAGTAGCAGTCTGTAATGAAAAGACCAAGGCATTGACATCTCTGGCCCATCCTCTGTTTGGATACCAGCCAGCAAGCCAACACCTTAAATCAAGAAATTATTTCCTAAGATCTACAGAGATGCTCGCAAGCAAGAGTCCAAAAGTGGCAGGCTAAAACCCAGAACCGCAATCTGTGGCTGATACTAAATGCGAGACTCCCTCCTGGGCACACAGAAGACTGGGCAACTTGGAAGGCGCTGAACAGACTGTACTCTGGGGCCATGAGATGTAGAGCCAACCTTCAGAAATGGGGTTACAAAGTGGAGTCCATGACATGCGAGTGTGGAGAAGAGCAAACCACAGATCACCTACTACAATGCAACCTGAGTCCTGCCACATGCACAATGAGGACCTTCTTACAGCCACACCAGAGCCACTTGACATGGCCAGCTTCTGGTCAAAGGAAATTTAGCATAATGCAAGTTTTTAACTTTGTGGTTTTTTATTCATAATAACTGTATTCTCAATTTGCTTCTGACATGATGAATAATTCATCAAGATGATCTATGGCACTGGTTCTCGACCTTTGGGTCTCCAGGTATTTGGCCTACAACTCCCAGAAATCCCATCTGGGGACCCAAAGATTGAGAACCACTGGTCTATGTCATATTTGACAAAGTATGCATCATCAGTTCAACACCTCTCGTTCCCTTTTTGGCAGATCTGGAAAACCCATTTTCCCAGTGTGCATGAATCATAGAATCATAGAGTTGGAAGTGGCCTCGTGGGCCATCCAATCCAACCCCATTCGGCCAAGAAGCAGGAAAACTGCATTCAAAGCACCCCCGACAGATGGCCACACAGCCTCTGTTCAAAAGCTTCCAAAGAAGGAGCCTCCACCACATTCCGGGGCAGAGAGTTCCACTGCTGAACATTGGTCTTGCTAGCTGGGGGTTTCTGGGAGCTGTAATTAAGAAGCAAGCACCCTGGCTCTTCAAACCAAGTCATTCAACCTGTTTACTTGTTTTACAGCTAAATATAAAATTATTCAGAGACTAATTGGATTGTTTAATTAGACACGAAAACCTCAAATGCCCTGACTTAAATGACTGTCTGAGACATTTTACATAATGTTTGGGAAGGCACAAGATCTCCCGAAATTAAAGCCCGAGGCTCAAATCACACTAAACTAAGGATATCATTTTGAGCCATGAAAATAAAAAAAGGATTTTTTTTGTCTGTATCCTGTGTCACCATTCAATTGACAGAGTCACTAACAGAAGGAACAAATTAAAAAAAAGCAAATACAAGGAGGAAGGGAAAAGCTTAATTAGTGTAATGGTTGTTTCTGTCAATTGATTGAGAAAAGCTCACCCCAGATCCCCTTTCAGTATTTTATTAGCCCTTCTGATCAAGCAGAGGGAGAGGAATGCTGCTTGAATGGGAGCCTTTTTGTCCCTTCTTTCGAAAGCGTTGAACCAGAAGCAGGGCGGCTTGCCTAGAATGCATCCTTCCTTTCTCTCTTGTCTTCCCTGAAAAGATGTTCCAAGGTGCGAATCACTCCATTCTCAAAAGGGAAGGCGAAAAAGACGATTCATTAGGATAAATGGACAAAGGTTTGAAATGGCACTTGATCTTTCCGAATTTTGTTGGCTCCAGGCCTGACAACTCAATACATAAATTGGTTTCTGCAGAAGCAAATCACACTGTGTTTCAGTGATTTGCCCCTCTAGATTCGTAGCCAAACCTTTTTTTAATGGAGAGATTTGAGGATGTTTGGCTAATGAGTGCAGGTCTTGGATCATCCAAATGATGACTCACTGGCTGGCAGGTCCGGATTGTGGTTGCCTAGACAATTATGTTTTCTGAAAATATCGCTGTCCGAAAGAAACAAGAAGAGAGTTGTTGTAGGATTTTTCGGGCTATATGGCCATGGTCTAGAGGCATTCTCTCCTGACGTTTCGCCTGCATCTAGGTGGTCAGTTGAAACATTCACACCTAGCTCCAGCAGACAAGAGTCCTTTGTCTCACCCTGGTCATTCCACAGATATATAAACCCTCTTTTCCTAGTTCCAACAGACCTCACTACCTCTGAGGATGCTTGCCATAGATGCAGGGAAACGTCAGGAGAGAATGCCTCTAGACCATGGCCATATAGCCCGAAAAACCTACAACAACCCAGTGATTCCAGCCATGAAAGCCTTCGAAGAAGAGAGTTTTCTGTACCCAAATGTGCCTGTTTATTGCCTAGCCCAGGGGTCCTCAAACTAAGGCCCGGGGGCCAGATGCGGCCCTCCAAGGTCATTTAACCGACCCTCGCTCAGGGTCAACCTAAGTCTGAAATGACTTGAAAGCACACAACAACAATCCTATCTCATCAGCCAAAAGCAGGCCCACACTTCCCATTGAAATACTAATAAGTTTATATTTGTTAACATTGTTCCTCATTTTAATTATTGTATTGTTTTTAAGTGTTTACACTACAAATAAGATATGTGCAGCGTGCACAGGAATTCATGTTTTATTTTTCAAATTATAATCCGGCCCTCCAACAGTTTGAGGGACTGTGACCTGGCCCTCTGCTTAAAAAGTTTGTGGACCCCTGGCCCATATGTAGACTTTTGTCCTGCTGTCTTTACTTTTGCTTTACGGGAACAGTGAGTTCTACTGTATGTGTGCCTTTGAGATCCCATCAACACTGCCATATAATCTAGTTTCTGATTCCAGATTATCTGTTTTTAACTGGATAATATGGCAGTGTAAATTCCCCTGACATTAAGTCCAGTCGTGTCCAACTCTGCAGGTTGGTGCTCATCTCCATTTCTAAGCCGAAGAGCTGGCGTTGTCCATAGACATCTCCATGTGGCTGGGATGACTTCATGGAACACCTTTACCTACCCGCCAGAGTGGTACCTACAGAGTGGTATCTACTCACATTTGCATGTTTTTGAATTGCTAGGTTGCCAGAAGCTGATGCTAACAGTGGAGCTCACCCCACTCCCCAGATTTGAACCTGCGACCTTTTGGTCAGCAAGTTCAGCAGTCCAGCAGTTTAACACACTGCACCACTGAGAGCTTGCCTTTACTTTCCCCTTATATTTTTTTTTATGGAAATATCAATTGGGAAGTGTGTCCCTCGCAAGATGCGAATGGTGGTGGGTTCTGCTGAATATTCATTTTATATTTTTCAAATATTTGCTGCCAAAATGTTTTTTCCCAAGTATTCAGAAATCTCTGGCCTTTTGATCAACAAATTCAGCAGCTCAGCAGTTTAACGCACTGCAACACCAGGGGCTCCATATGGCAGTTTAGACTCATACAATCCATTTCAAAGCAGATAATCTGGTATCAGATACTGGATTGTGTGGCAGTGCAGATCCAACCAGAATCACATGGCAACATGTGGCAACCTCAGTCATTTTGTTACCAAAATCAGCTATGTGCCACCAGGGGGTAGTGTAGGTTTGTTCCCCAGCACACCATGCTACTTCGAAAGCTGGGGAAAACATGACCAAGTTTGAAGGCAATAACGGAGGTTTAGTCACCTGGAGG